CCCGCTTGTCCCTTCCAGGCAGTCTCCATTCTGCCCCGGAGCTGCTCTCCTGTAGCTTGGAAGGGGCCAGGCCCTTCAGGGAAGAGGCAGTGCCTGCACCTGTCGGGGCCACACCTGGAGCACCAAGCGATCATGGTGGGGGTTGGCTGGGACCAGGGCTTGGGGGCCAGCGTGGCTGGGGCCTTCTCTGACTCAAATGTGCTTAAACCTCTGGGGGTGTGGAAACTGCCCAGTGGCTGTACTGCACCCAACACTACCCCTCTGTGTGGCATGTCATGTGCCTCCCACCTGGCTCTGGTGCTCCGGGTAGGCAGTGGGTGGCCCCCTACTGTCAGCTGGAAGATTCCTGTGTCATTCTGTAACTTCTGGCTCGGTGTTCCTTGGCCAGGAGATGGTTAGGGTGAGAGAACAGTCTCATGTTGGGTGCCTTGGGGTGGGCTAGGTGGAACTGCTCCTGGTGCCCCAGCATAGCTCCAGGACTCCTGCGAGAAGACCCTCTCTGGGAAAGGGAGGGAAGGTCACTAGGGAGGGAGGTGGGGTGACAAGATTCCCAGGAGATCTAGGCAAAGAGGGCTGCCCAGGGAGGGGAGGCAGGGAGGCCCCATCCCTGTCCTTTGCCCTTCTCTCCGGGTCCCTCCGTCCGGGCTGGTTCCGGGCTGGGGGAAGTTTCCTGAAATCGGGAGGCATTTCAGTGCAGGTGCCATGGTTGCCTCTGGGGGAGACTCACTCTTGTCTGCAGGAGGCCAGGCACTGAGCAGGAGGAACAGCATTCTGGGGGAAACTGCTCACCAGGGTCAGGAGTACCAGCCGTGAAACCACACGCTGAGTTTGGCCCGACAGGTGGGCCTGGAGGTGGGTGTGGGGTGCACTCCTCAATCTCCAGGAGGGACAGGGTGCCCACTGCCAGGCCCTAGGGAGGCAGGGCTGCCAGCCTGGTCTTTAGAGGGCACCACTTGGAGGCCAGTTGACTAGAGCAGTTCTGAGTGCCCAGGACTCATGGAGCCCAGGCTCTGGGCATGGCGGGTGTCCAGGCTGAGTTGGGGTAGCCCCCTTCAGATTGCGGGGTTGAAATTGTTCTCCTTGCTTTCTGCTTAAGTAAGGATCACTTTCATCTTAACACCACCTCTCTGGCCTCTAAAGGTGCTGGACCAGAGCACACTCTCCTGCTGTTTGTGGGCTGCTAGGAAGAGAGGCCTCGAGGTGGCCCCTGAGGCCGTGTGGATTGCCTCAGACAGGTGGGGCCTTGCCTTGCCTGCCATCGTGGGCAAGTAGGGGCCCCCATGGGTTGCTGCTCCATGGGTCGGTAGGCCATGGGCCCTGCCCTCTGCTGTCCTCCTTGGTCTTTTGGCTCGTGTGTGTTTGGAGGGTGAGGAGGGGACCTGAGGGGTGTCCTTGGCCTGGGGCTTCCACTGCTTCCTGGAGATGCATGAGGGCTGCCAGCCAGGAAGGAGCCTAGGGGGCCAAGGATCTGCTTCTTCCATGGCCACTCTGTTCTCACCAGCTGCTTCCTGTGTGCCCATGGGCTCGTGAAGCCTGGGTGGGCACCCCAGGATGGGCTGAAAGCCAGCAGTGAGAAGGGGGGCCACGCCCATGACCACAGATATGTTCCTCCACACTGCCAGTCCCAGGCCCTCGTGCCCCGTGGGGAGGTGAGAGGTGAGCGGTTGGAGTGGGTGCCAGGGCAGAGCCTGGGCTGTGTGTGCAAAGACGAGACGGGCTCTGCATCGACACACGGGCCCCAGGGCTGTGAGGCCGGCGTGTGGTGCCTGGGTGGGGCCGTGCCAGGAGGGGTGGCGGGTGGGGAGCTGCTGAGACAGGCATGTCCTGTGAACGCCTCTGTTCTTTCTTTTTGTTTGGAGTTTTTTTTCCCCCGTTTGAGGTAAAATTTACATGCAACGTAGTACCAAATTTCAAATCTTGAGTTTTGAGCAGTGGGTGTGCCCACCTTAACCCAGATTCCTACCAAGGCATGGAGCTGCCCTAGAAAGTTCCTTATGCCCCTTCCCAGACAGCGCTCCTCTGACCCTCCACAGGCTGTGCTCATTTAGTTTCTTCCGTAGATCAGTTCTACCTGTTCTAGAACTTGTCATAAATGGAGTCAATGCAGGGTGTGCGCTTTTGTGTGAGCTTTCCTTCCCTCAGCGTGCTTTTGAGAGTCATCCATGTTCTTGCATCAGTCTACTCTTGGTTTTTTTAGAATTTTAAAAGTAATACGTACTTGTTTTAAATTTTGATTATTACAGAAATGAACACCCAGAAACTAGAGTTTTCCTATAATTCCACCCCCTGGAGATAACCTCATTTAGCACTTGGGTATGTGTACCCCAAGACATTTCTTGCCAGGACAGCCATGCCAAGTCAGGCCTTCCATGTGGTTGTCTGAGGAGGGTGGACAGGGAAGGAGCAGCAGAGGGCATGCAGGAGCTCCTGCCAGCTCCCCCCGGCTCAGCTCTAAGGGCCTGGCCTTCCCTCTGGCCCGTGCTGCCAGTGCCTTTAGGGTCTGGGGTGGGCGGCTGGGGCCTGGGCCTGCCTTCGGTGTGTATGCAGGGGGTAGGCAGGCGGGTGTGCCTCTCTGACTTTTCTGTGGTGGGGCCCTGGGGAGGGGAAGAAAAGGAAATGAGAATTAAGCTAGGACCTGTCCCAGTTTGCAGTGTAACAGCCCTGTTGGGTAGGTAGGTGTTGACCGTTCTGTAAACAAGGATCTGGGAAGGTAATCCAGGTCTCTCTTCATTTGCTCACACTGTCTCTGTTCACAAGAGGGCAGAGCTGGCCCTCCCCAAGGACTGCGTTCCTGCCCTTCCCTGCCGGGATCAGCCTGGCTAGGGCCACCCCCACCCACCTGCAAAGGGCCAGGTCTCGGCCTTAGAGGAGGGAGTACCTGACTTTCCCACTGTCCCAGATCCTAGGCTTCGTGGAGCCAGCGCTCCGGGCAGGCAGTGAGGCTGCCCTGCATGTGGGATCCTTGGGGCTGATACGCACACTGCCTCTGCCCACTGCCAGGGGGCTGCTCGGTGCCAGGGGCTGGTGCCAGGCAGTGTCCTCATTCCAGCCTGTAGGGTGTTCCTGCCAGGGCTGGGCACCAGCCCCTGTACCCAGTGGGGCATTGCACTGCCAGCTTTCTGGGCCAGCCCCCACAGCCATGTTTCCAGTTACCTGGGACTCCCCCAGGCTGGGGCTTCTTGAGGGGCAGTGTTTGATGCTCCCACACCTGGCAGTGAGGGGGAGTGCAGAGGTCTTTGGCTGTCGTCATTTAGGCTGGGAAGAAAAGAACAGTGCTTCATAGGGGTCCTGGCCCCACAGCAGTGGGGTGTGTGGCCCCATCACCTGCAGTGAGGTTGCATCATTGCTTGCAGATGTAGTGGCGGCCCAGACTGCCCAGCGGGGTGCACGCCAGGCAAGGTGGCAGGCATCATGCTGGCTATGAACTCGCAGCAGGCGGCTCCCCGGTGCCCCACCCAGTGGAGGGCGCGGCGAGGAGGCGGCTCTGCCCTGTCCTGCTGAGTGTCCCTGTGAGGAGTCACGTCTGCCTCAGCCCTGCGAGACCCCCCCCCCGCCCCCCCCCAGGAATTGTGTGCCTGTCACTCAGCCTTTCCCAGGCTGGCGAAGTACCTGGCAGGGCAGGGGCAGCAGGCCCCTACACAGGGCCCCCAAGTCCTGTTCTGCTACCCACTCCCTGCATGGTGTCCAGATGTTGGCCTGATTTGTGATAAGGACGAGTAACCCCCTGTTGCAGGGTCTAGCATGTGCTGAGACGGAGGCCCCTGGGCGAGTTGGCCTGACGCCCTGCGCGGAATAGCCTGGGTAGCACAGGGCTGCATGGCCGGTGTCTGGTTGGCTCAAACACATTGCTGTGACTTCCTGTCCATTCTTCCGGGCCGCTCTCACCAGCTTTGTGGTAGCCTCTGTCCCCCTTCCCAAGGCTGGGCTCAGCTCTGTCCCAGTGGCCTCACCCAGCCAGGGAGTCTGGGTGCTTCACACCTACGGGGGCCCAGCCCACCCTCATTAAATGTGGACCCACAGAGCTGGTTCTGCTGCCCTCTGGCTGTTGGGATCCCAGACCAACCGTGCCCCCCACCCCTGTGAGAGAGGAACAGTGCTAGGGGCTGGAGAGACAGCTGGCAGGCCGGAGCTGAGGCCTCCCAGCCACCCCGCACCCCGGGTCTGGTCACATTCCTGAGGGACCTGCTGAGCCTCCCTGGCCCTGGGGGTGGGGGAAGGGCAGGCAGGGATGGGCTCCAGGCTGCTGCAGGCCTCCTCCCCCACCTCTGGCTCCATTCCAAGGGAGCCCAGGCCTGCCTGGGTGCGGTGTAAGGAACCAAAACCCAAGGACCCCCTTCCTGCAGGACCCAAAGCTCTGAGGGGCAGAGGGAGCCCACCCACATCTGGCGGCAGCTGCCCACGGCTTTGGCGGGCTGGTATTGAAAGGCCGACCTTGCGAAAACTCCTGCAAGGGGAGGCCATGTGGTTGGGCTGGGCAGGAGGGGGCTGGGCCCTCTGGGCAGGGAGGGGGTGAGAGCAGATCGGGAAGGGAAGGAGGCAGGAGAGCCAGAAGCGGTTGAGACTGGTTCTTATAAATAGCCCATTGCACCAGTGCCTCCAATTTTGACCTTTTGTTATGTAAATGTGGCCAGCTTGGAAGGGGCCTTGCCCAGGCCTCCTGCCACCACGTCCACCCGGGAGGAATTGTGTGCCTGCCACCAGCTCTCCCAGGCCTAGGTGGCCCTTGGGAGTACCCTAAATCTCCTGGGTCACGAGTGGGAAGTGGGTGCAGCCCTGCTGGACTCCCCAGATGGGTGACTGTCCCTGCTTCTGGGCCTGACTGCGGGCACTGCGGCCACTGTTTCCTGCCTGGCTGCCCCTGGCATCCCAGCCAGAGAGACCCCTGGGCCTTCCTGGGAGCAAGGGCTCCAGGGCCACCAGGTGGCTTCCCCTTCTCTGTCCCACCCTTCTTCCCTTGCTGATGCCTTTCTGGGTGACCGTGTCTATCTTCTTCTCCCCAGGTGACCAGGCATTGATGCACCCCCAGGGAGGCCACGTACTCAAGGAGGCCACCCCCGCTGGCTGCTGCTCACATGGTTTCTGGGCCCTTGGCACTCCGGTAGGCTGGGAAGGGGGGCGCTGGCAGGGCTGGGGGTGGGGGAGTTGGGGAGGGAGGATGTCTGTCTGCTCCTTCTGGGGCTTTCTGGGCGGCCCACACAGCCCCACAGCTCTCAGCCTGCATCCTGGCCTGTGGTCCTTTGTGTGCGAATAGCATGGGGCAGTGTGGAGGGGAGGCTGGGGCCCACTGCCCTCGGCCTGAGGAGGAGGGGCTGCTGTGGGCTCACAGGCTCTCAGAGGATGGGACCTCCTGCCCTCAGCCCATGTCTTGCCAGGCCTGGAAGACCAGGTGTTCTGGGTGCTGGTGGAGCTGACACTGTGTTTCCTTGGCATCCTGGCCAGTGTGGGAGCCATACCTTGGGCTCTTTGTCCCCACCTGGCTGGCTCGGGGGCAGGGAGTGGAGGAGGGTTGGTTCCTGGGCTCCAGCCTCTGAGCAGCCTTACAAGGCTGGGCTGGCCGAGTGGGTGCTTGCCGCCTCCTGCTCTCAGGCCCTAAGCGCTAGTCCACGCGTGGTTGCGGTGAGTTCCAAAGTCGCCTCCGGGGTGCATGTGATTGTTAGGGTTTCCCTCTGTCTTTGCAAACAAGGGCAGCTGTGGGGCAGGGGGAGCATTTGTGTCACGTTTGTGCCACATTTGTGCCTTGCTGCGCCTGCTGGGGGAAAGCAGGGCTGGGTACCCTGGTCAGAGCAGGAGATCCCAGAAGGCTCAGCAGTCGGTGACTTTCAGAGATCAGGCTCTGAGTGGAAGGACGTGAAGGCACCCTCATCTGCTTCGTGGCACAGGGCTGCCTGCAGGAAGACACGTTCCATGACGGGCCAGAGGGGCAGGGAGCCGTGGCCTCGCACTGTGGGCCCTGCTCCTTAGTGGGGTGGGCGCATGTTCGGAGCAGCCTGCTCCTGAACACCTGTGTGCACACTGCCACCCCGCAGGGTTCCTGTGGAGGCCAGAGTCCTCTGTGTGTTTATTACTTCGTGTCATCAGTTAGTGTCTGTGCCAGTCTGGTGAGGCCAGCCAGGTGCCTTTTCCAGGCCCAGGCAGTGCTAGGGGCTTGAGCAAGCTGCCTTTTCCGCCCATTCCTGGAGGTTGCAGTGTCAAGAGGCAGGAACGGGCCATCGGTGAACCTGCTAGCTCGGAAAGCCTCTAGGTTGTGTGAGAGGATTCAGTGGAGAGTAGAGACCGCAGGCTTTGTTTGGCCCATGTGGTATTTGAGGAAAAGGAAGCTTCGTTTAGCACGGGGAGATTTCACCTGAAAGTCTGGGTTTCCAGCTTGTCCTGAAAGCTGGGAAGCTGTGTGCGCACGTGGGAAGCCCGCCCACCCACGTTGGTGCCTGCTGCTTCCCAGCACCTTGCGGCTCCTCACTGGTTATCTTTGGGTCCCCTGTGGGCATGTGGTCAACTCCTGTGTTATGGAGACGGTACCCTGGGCTGTGGAGCCAATTTCAAATCCCATTTTTTCTTTCTGATCCTGTGTGACCATCATGTGGCCTTCTGTTTTCAAATCTGTGCATATGGGGCCAGTGCTGCTGTCCCTTCTCAGACAGCATGGGTCCTTGGTGGGCAGTGTGAATTCCCTTCCCATGGACTGTGCCTGAGGAAGCGCCCAGTGGCTAGGTCAGTGTGGAGGCCTCTGAGCGCCACTGCAGCTGTGCTCTGGCCTAGGGCCCTTGCACAAGGGTCCCTGTTAGCTAATGCATGCATGCCTGTTCTTGCCCGTAGGTGGTGCGCGTGGGCAGGGCGCGGGGACATGGGGCCCGACATGGAGCTGCCCAGCCACTCGAAGCAGCTCCTGCTGCAGCTGAACCAGCAGAGGACGAAGGGCTTCCTGTGTGACGTCATCATCATGGTGGAGAACTCCATCTTCCGGGCCCACAAGAACGTCCTGGCTGCCAGCAGCATTTATTTCAAGTCCCTGGTCCTGCACGACAACCTCATCAACCTGGACACGGACATGGTCAGCTCCACAGTGTTCCAGCAGATCCTGGACTTCATCTACACGGGCAAGCTGCTGCCCAGCGACCAGCCAGCTGAACCCAACTTCAGCACTCTCCTCACTGCCGCCAGCTACCTCCAGCTGCCCGAGTTGGCAGCCCTCTGCCGCCGCAAACTCAAGCGAGCCGGCAAGCCCTTTGGCTCTGGACGGGTTGGGGCTGCCGGCATGGGGCGGCCCCCCCGCAGCCAGCGGCTGTCCACAGCCTCTGTCATCCAGGCCCGATATCCAGGGCTTGTGGATGGGCGCAAGGGGGCCCACACCCCCCAGGAGCTCCCCCAGGCCAAAGGCTCAGATGATGAACTCTTCCTCAGCACCTCCAACCAGGAGAGCACTCACGGCTTAGGCCGGACCGTCTGTCCAGCCAGCGGGGAGGCCGGCCTGGGCAGCTGCAGCACCAATGGGAGCAGTGGGGGCTGCGAGCAGGAGCTGGGCCTGGACCTGTCCAAGAAGAGCCCGCCCCTGCCCCCCGCAACCCCCGGGCCCCCCCTCACCCCAGATGATCCGGCCCAGCTGAGTGACAGTCAGCACGGCTCGCCCCTCTCCGTCTCTGCCCCTCCTGTTGCCAACAGTGCCTCTTATGCCGAACTGGGGGGCACCCCCAATGAGCCCATGGATCTGGAGGGGGCTGAGGACAACCACCTGAGCCTGCTGGAGGGGCCTGGCGGGCAGCCCCGGAAGAGCCTCCGGCACTCGGCCCGCAAGAAGGAGTGGAGCAAGAAGGAGCCTGTGGTGGGTTCCCCCTTTGAGCGGAGGGAAGCGGGGCCCAAGGGCCCCTGCCCAGGGGAGGAGGGTGAGGGGCTTGGGGACAGGGTTCCCAATGGCATCCTTGCCAGCAGTGTGGCAGGGGGTGGCCCCAGCGGGCCTTACGGGGAGGCCCCATACCCCTGCAAGGAGGAGGAGGAGAATGGCAAGGATGGGAGCGAGGACAGCGGGCAGAGTGGGAGCGAAGGGGGCAGTGGCCACCTGGGCGCCCACTACATGTACCGGCAGGAAGGCTACGAGACCGTGTCCTACGGGGACAACCTGTATGTGTGCATCCCCTGCGCCAAAGGCTTCCCCAGTTCCGAGCAGCTCAACGCGCATGTGGAGACGCACACGGAGGAGGAGCTGTTCATCAAGGAGGAGGGTGCCTACGAGACGGGCAGCGGGGGCGCCGAGGAGGAGGCCGAGGACCTGTCGGCACCCAGTGCGGCCTACACGGCTGAGCCCCGGCCCTTCAAGTGCTCGGTCTGCGAGAAGACCTACAAGGACCCGGCCACGCTGCGGCAGCATGAGAAGACGCACTGGCTGACGCGGCCCTTCCCCTGCAACATCTGCGGCAAGATGTTCACTCAGCGCGGCACCATGACGCGCCACATGCGAAGCCACCTGGGCCTGAAGCCCTTTGCCTGCGACGAGTGCGGCATGCGCTTCACCCGCCAGTACCGCCTCACCGAGCACATGCGCGTGCACTCGGGCGAGAAGCCCTACGAGTGCCAGCTCTGTGGGGGCAAGTTCACCCAGCAGCGCAACCTCATCAGCCACCTGCGCATGCACACCTCCCCCTCCTAGAAGCCAAAGACCCTTCTCCTGGCCCGACGGCGCCCTCTGCAGACTCGCCCTCCAGAGCCAACGGAAGGAGGAAGCAAGAAGGCCAGGCAGGCGGGGCTGGGACCCCCAGGTCCAGCGGGGGGGTCTCCCGGCAGCACCTCTGGCCAGCCCCCTACACCCAGAGCTTTAATCGACAGTTTGTACCAAGGGAAGAGAGAGGAGGGAGGCCGGTGGGCCAGAGCCCAGTGTGCGTGTTCCTGGTGTGCGGTTTGCCTCCCGACCCCGCCCAGGTCCCTGGTCCTTGAGCGGGCTGCTGCAAGGCCCGTGGGAGTGGGTCATGGGGGTCTTGCTGGGGCCCAGCCCCTCTCCCGCAGGCTGGGTTGGAGCAGGGGGAAGGGGGTGCCTCCCTCCGTGTAAGGAGAGGAGCAGAGCTTCCCGTGGCCGGGCAGTGTCTGTGTGCATGCACGAGTGCCGTCTGTGTGCAGGCCCCCTGGCTCTGCCAAGAGCAGTGCAGGAGGGAGGCATGGAGCCCTCCCCCCTGAGCTAGGGGCCCCGCTCGCTGGTGCTGGGACGGTCGGCCCCGCTGCCTACCTCTCCACAACTAAAGAGCCCTCTGGGCCTGTGTTGCTGTTATTCCTACTGATCTGCTCCTTTTTTCTTTTTGAGTTTTGTTTTGAAACCAAAACCAACGAGAGTTTATTTTCCTCCCGGCCCTTCGAGGCTGAGCCTGGGTCTGCAGACTGAATGTACGGGGCAGCCGCCCCGCCCCGCCCCGCCGCGGGCCACCCGCCCCTCCAGGCCCCAGAAGCCCTTCTTGGCCAAAGGCTTCCCTGGGCCCCGAGCCTGCCTCGGCTGCCTCAGGAGAGAGAGTGCTTTTCCTATAGTTTCCGAGGAATATTCTTTGTTTAGAGGTACTTGTTTTTTATTAAGAGAAGAACAGTGTAACGTTTATGTGAATGTTGGAACTGGAAGGTCTGGGGTTGGGGGGGGCTGGGTTTCCATTTTCTGTTTGTGTGTGTGGTGTGCGCGGTGTGTGTGGACAGATGCTGTGCTTTCCTCCCTCCTTCCCCATCAAGGTGGAGAGACTTCTGACCTTTTGCTACCTCTTGTATTCACGAAAACAGTACGTTGGTGACTGGCAGTTGAGGCCATGACACTTTGGTTTTCCTCCAGTTAGTGTGCACAGGAGGACGTACGTTCGAGTGAACCGGGCCGAGCGCCCTCCTGGGCCGCCCCCGATGCTCCTGCAGCCCTGCAGTCTGGGCGTGTGCCGCACCTCCATGGGCGTGTGGCGAGCCGTGTCCACCCCAGCGGTGTTCTGAGAGTGCTGCTGAGCGCCTCTGCTCCGGGCCCAGGGGAGGGGCATGTGTGCTTCAGCCCCGTGGGAGCTCCTGATGGAGGGCCGGGTTCCGGGTACTAGGGAGATGGGAGCCATGCTGCAGGAGCAAGCTCCTTGCGGCTCCCTGCCAGGGCCAGGATGAGGTGAAGTGAGCCCCTCCATCCTGTCCCCTGGGCCTGCAGAGCTTGAACTTGGAAGAGCAGCGGCCCCTGCCTGGCCAGTGTAGAGGCATGGGGAGGGGCTGACCAAAGCAATGTATGCACCCCTGGGGGACAGGGAGGGGACCAGCCCTGCTTTGGCACCTCTCTGGGTGGTCCTGGCCCACAGTCTCTCTAGCAGGAGACTGGCTGCCACCCTTTGGCTCAGCCCAGTCTGGAGTCCCACCCCTTGCTCCTCACCTTGGGTTTTCTCCACCAGCCTCAGACACCTCCCTGGGCCCAGAGCTGGGCTCAGAACGACAGACCAAAGTCGCAGAGGTCGGCCCTACTGTCCTCGGCCGACTGGAGCCACAGGGCTGGGCCAGCGGCTTTATCTTCTTTGTTTTGCTTCATACTTTTATTTCTTTTTTTTGTTTCTGCTTTAAGTTCAGACCAAAAAATTCCAGAGTCATCCCCTACCCCCACCCCTCCATTCCTCCAGAGCCCTCCAGCTGAAAACAGAGCCTGAGTTCAGGGACCCACGTGGTGAAGGGTGTGTTTTGCGAGTGAGGGAGCTCAGGCCACACTAGGGCTCCTGGCTGAGCCCTCCGCACAGTGCCCCCACCCTGGGCCGGCTCCTCTTCCCTTTGGGTGGGAAGCGGAGGACTGGACCCAGGGTCTCATGTTCCAGCAAGTCAGGCCAAGGGTCTAGGCGGAGGAGCCTCCTGGGCTCCCCGTACCCAGTGAGGGGCCAGGGCTCTTTCCAGGCCCCTGGCCTCTCCTGACCCCACCCTACTCCGTCAGCACTTAAGCCACACGACACAAAGTCTGTACCGCATGGGAGTCGTGCCCGTGGCCGGCCTGTGCGTGGCCTCCCCAGCGTGGGCGACCACATCCGTGAGGTGACTTGTGAAAGTAGCTGATTTGTTTGCAGAGCTTCAGGGACTGGGCGCGAAGGCCCCTCACTCACCGTTCGTGCGACGTAGTATTGTACCCACCTGAGTATTGTATCGAGCCTTCTCTGTATTTTAACAAGAAAGCAAAACACTAGTTTCCTATTTAAGATTTTAAGGGTTTGTGGGTGGGGCGGGATTAACACAACACTTGGTTTTGTTTTCCTTTTCCTTTGGTTTCATGTGGAGTGTGTGCTTGTGAGTGTGTGCGTGGAGATGTGTTAAGAGCCTCACGAGGAAATCAGGCTGTCGGAGGCCGAGGGCGGCTTACAGTTCTCTGTTTTAGTCACTTAATTCCTGAATGTTTCGGAGAAACAGGAACCAGAGAAAATAGCAGATGTCATGTAGGAAAAAGAGGATAAACGAAAAAAAGGAAAAAAAAAAAAAGCTCATACCCAAATTCACAAAACCTATTTTTTAAACCAAAGCACATTTTGAATGAGTATGGAACCTCAATGGGCTCAGAAAAAAGATACTAATATATTTATCTCATTGTTTACATAAACTTTTACAGTTTCAGACCTCAGCAGCTGTAAGGCCAGTCCCACTGAACCCTCACCTCCCGCCGGAGGCCCTTCCAAGTCGGCCCCATAATGGCTCCCGGGCAGAGGCGCAGACTCCGAGGCCCCCAGATTCAGCCGAGCCCTCCTCCCCAGCCCGGGCCTCTCCAAGCCCAGCTGACACCAAAGAGCTTGGGCCTGTGCTGACCAGCCCCCAGGCCTCCTGGCCGGACCATGGCGGTCCTGGCCAGCTGGCATAGCAGGGGTGGCCGTCGGCTCTGGCCACAGGACCCGAGTCTGGGCTTGGGCCCCGGGATGGAGGCGCGCCCCTTCTGCTGCTCTGCCTGAGACCCTCAGGGTGGGTTGATGTGAAGGTCCCTCTCAAGCCAAAAAGCCGGGACCTTTGCACAGCTCTGTTGACTCCAGTGGGTCCCCGCCTCCTGGGGACCCCCCACCCCCATCTCTTGCAGCAGGAGGGGTTCACTGGGCTGGTCCTTACCAACACAGACGGTGCAAACACTCTGAACAGTGTTGTTTTTGTATCAATATGTTTGTGCAGTGATGAATGTATTTATTTCTCAGACTTGGGGCGAGCGAGCGGCAGGCCAGGCTCCGCCACCTCGCTCTCACCAGACCGAGCCACGACAAGGGCTCCTCCAGGATTGCAAAAAAGGTAAAAAAGAAAAGACAAACCTTTAAGCAAATAAGAATCTCAGAGACTCGCAGCATAGCCATACACCTCAGCCTGTGAAACGAACAATCCGGACCCAGACTGACTTTCAGAACCTCACGCAGCCCTGTGTGTCTCCCCTTCATCACCACTCGGGGTGCTGGGCTGCCCCGCCCCCCTCATCAGTATTCACTGGACTTGGCCGTGTGCAGGAGTGCGATCTGGGCTGGGCTGGCTGGGCGGGCAGACCCCAGCCGCCCTCCCTGCGGCCGTCCTGTGTTGGGATGGGGCCTGGGCAGCCAGGAGGGCAGGGCTCAGGGAGGAGGCGGCTGCATCCGTCCCGTCCCCTTGGCTTGGGGGACAAAAGCAGAGACGCCAGGCCTTAGGAGACCAGACAAGGGGTCTCAGCCCTGCCACACCCCCTGGAGGGACCAAGGCCCTGGCTCTTGCCCAGAGTCGTGCTGGGCGGACGTTCCTGAACCTGTGAATCCGGTGCCAGGAGTGAGGAGATGGAGAGGGACCTAACCAGAGCCTCAGTCTGACATTCCAAATCGGGGGTTGGGTGTGCACTGTGGGAATTGAGGCTGCCCAGGACCCCCTTCCTAGGACCCCCCCCCAGCTTCAGTCACCCACTTTAATTTTCTACCGGGAACCCCTCCCCCTACCTCACCTTACTATTTATTGCTGTAATTTATTGACCTCAAAAATGCTGCATAACAGACCTCACTCGGGGCAGGGAGGATCCCTAGGGCTCCCCCCCTCCACTTGGTGGGGCCCTGTGGGGCCAGGTGCTGAGGGGAGCCTCTCTGTATCCCGCCCATCACTTACTTTCCCCCTCCCCCCTTGGGGGACCCCAGGTTGGGCACTGGCCCATTCGCAAATACCTCGAGGGGGAGGGGGGATGGGGTTATAGCTGTTTTGTTTAATCAGAACTGGAAGAGGGATCATGTCCTACATTATGCCCTTCCCAGAAAGGGGGGCACTCCATGATCGCACTCCTGTACTGGCCACCGTCGCTGTCCGTCATCACAACGCGTTCACTTCCCGCCAGAGTTTGGATAAATTCAGGTCAGAGCTGCAGGTGTGCAGCCCTCAAATGTCATAGAAAAGCAATTCACCAACGACTGATCTCTCCATTCAGAAGCGTGCAGTCTTAATGTACAGTGATGAAAAACTGTTATTTTATGATCTTTTCATTAAAAGCTTGATTGAAAACTCTCTTGTGGGAAGCCTCTTTGTTCTCTTCTCTCTTGCTAAACGACAAACTGCTTTTCTTTCTCTGTCCAGCTTCCAAGACCTGAGTGGGTGGGTTTCAGACGGGGCTGGGACCTCACTCAGCAGGGGGTGTGTGTCCTGGAGCTGGGCCCTGGTCCAGGGAACCAGCACTCTGGGGTCAGCATCCTTTTGGGCAGTGTTGGCCGAGGCAATTGAGGAAGCAGAGGATATGTAGACAGTGGCTGGGCTTGGATGAGGGGAACCTGGCCCGTTCCTGGGGCCACTTACCCATTGGCACAGCAGAGTCAGGCTAAGGGAGGGCGAGGGAAGAAAGGCTAATCTTAGTCTCCAGGGGCAGGGACAGTAGATCTGATTCCCTGGGGGACTGTCTCTAGCCACCAGGATGGGAATCCAGGATGAGTGGAGACAGGAGGAGGAGCAGGGCTGGGGTCGGGTAGGGGGGGGGGGGGGGCGCTGCAGACGTCCAGGTGGCTCCAGGGCAGCCGCGGGTGAGTGCGGGGACCCCAGGCCTCCAGGAGAACGTGGGCGTTGCTGCTCGATGTCATGGTAAGTTTGTTCAGTTGTTTGAAAATTCTGTTTTGGTTTTATCAAAGCAATACCTGGACATAGTTTAAATAATCAAATGGTTCTTTAAAGGCTTAAAAGAGTTTCTTGTCCCCCAAGCCCATGTTACGTAGACAACCACTTTTAATTCTTTTTGCATGTCTGCATTTATCTCCACGTTTCTAAGTAGTAATCTTATACTGCCGTCTTTTGACTCCTAGATGAGGATTTCAATTCATTTATACCCTCTTGGCTTGCCCTTATATTCCCCAGATAGGTATCAGGTGTTTAAAGGGTGGCAAACTTTTTCCGGAAAGTAGCCAGATAGTAAATATTTCAGGCTTTGTGTGCCATGCAGTCTCTGTGCTGTCACAGTGCAAGAGCAGCCGTCGACAGTGTAAGCGCACGGGCGTGACTCCGTTAGATTTCCTGTACCGAAACTGGTGCAGTGTGCAGTTTTGCCAGGCCACGCTCATTATCACTAAGTAAATTTGTTTACTGCTGAGCCAAGTAGTGTACTGTGTCTTCTCCTTTTTTGTCAATTTCTTGTTTTTCTTGAGGTTAATAGTTATCTTATTTTTCCCATCACTAAGTTTGGTGTAAGTCTCTGTCTTCATCCTTTCGCTCTGTGAAAGGCCTCCCGGTGCCGTTTTCCACAAAAGCAAACATTCTCTGTTCTGTCACTTTTTCCCCAGAGGACATCCTTTCTGGAGGCTGCCGTTTGGCACAGAGTGGGCTGAAGATCTCCTGCCTTCTTGTCCTGCATTAGAAGCCCCTCTTTCTGGATCCCACATGTTCTTTCCTTGGGTTACGTGCTTGTTTTGGTTGCATATTTCCTCCAGTACCATCCTGAGAAAGAATACATGGGAAGTAGGTTTTTTGAGACTTTCAATGTTGAAAGTGCTTTTAAATTATGCAGAATTGATAGTTTGGCTGGGTGTAGGATTGTAACTTGGATATCATTTTCCTGCTGAACTTTAAACTTTTTTTTTTTTAAGATTTTATTTTTCTGTTTTCTTCCCAAGTTCCCCAGTACATAGTTGTATGTATTTTTCAGTTGTGGGTCCTTCTAGTTGTGGCTTGTGGGATGCCGCCTCAGCATGGCCTGATGAGCGGTGCCATGTCTGTGCCCAGGATCCGAACCAGCGAAACCCTGGGCCACCAAAGCCAAGCACGTGAACTTAACCACTCGGCCCCGGGGCCGGCCCCTCCTGCTGAACTTTGAAGGTGTGTTGCTTCCTTGGCTTCTGCCTTCTGATGTGATGAGAAGCCTAGTTCCCTTTGTACGTGACCACTTTCCTGGCTGGAAGCTCTTGCCGTCATCTCTGGTTTAGAGGGTTTGTCCATCCACTGGGCTGAGCACTCGATGGGTTGGTTTCACTCTGGAGACTTGTTCCCTTCAGTAAACTCTTCATGATTTTTAAAACATCTCAGCAATTATTTTTTATTTCCTTTCTTCTTTTGTTCCTTGATTACTGCATTTTCTTTTCTTTTCATGGATGTAGTCTCTTTCCAAGGAAATTTTAATTTTCTAACATTTTCTTCTGTTCCTTGTGTTGTATCTAGTTCCCTTTAAGATCCCTACTTTCAGTTTATTTTTATCCTTTTTTACAATATTGTGTCATTATGTTGTGCACATGAAACTAATATGACATATGACATATGTGTCTGTTATACTTCAATTTAAAAGGAAGCCACATCGAAGAGCTGGGCTTGACCTCAGGGTGAAGGGGCCATGTGCACCTTCCCACTGTTGTCGTCACCTTCCGAAGTGGAGTCACCCAGGCACCCTGTCCACAGGTGGGCCTGGTGCATCCTTAGGGAGAGGGAACCCTAGGAGTGTGTGTGAGACTGCCCGGGCTGCCATAACAAGGTACCACAGGCTGGGGGGTTAAATAACAGGAATTCATTTCTCACGGTTCTGGAGGCTGGAAGTCTGAGGTCAAGGTGTTGGCAGGGCCTCTCCTGAGGCCTCTCTCCTTGACTTGTAGATGGCTGTCCTCTCCCTGTGACCTCATATGGCCATCCTGCTGTGTGTCTGTGTCCAGATTGCTTCTTATAAGGACACCAGCCAGATTGGATTAGGACCCACCCTCATAGCCTGGGTTTAACCTAATTACCTCTTTAAAGCGGTACCGGTCTCCAAAGTAGTCAGTCTGAGGTATTAGGGGTTAGAACTTCAACACAGGAATTCTGGGGGACACAATTCAGCCCATAATGGGGTACACATGATGTGCTGTGTGTGGCTTTAGGTGGCCACAGGAATCCCAGGCGGCCGTCTCTTTGTGTTCATAGTGTGGGCCCTGCAGCTCGGCCTCGTGGCCTCGGTGCCTGCAACTTCCTCCTTCCTCGGGGGAGGACTGGCTCTCTTTTGGGATTCTATAGGCAGTGTTGTCCAGGCCTTGGGTGCCTCCTGGGAAGTGGGCAGTGCTCTACCGACCCCCCTTGGCCCCTGAGATGTCAGCTTTATCTGAAGGGACGCAGACCACAGCGTTCAAGAGCAGCCCAGGGGGGCGGCCGGCAGCCAGCCTGTCTCTTGGTAGGAGGCAGGGCTGCTTCTGGGTGCTTGCTTGGCATTGCAAGGCATGCCTGCTGACTGGCCTGCCTGCAGTGACAGTGGCTGACCTAGCCAGGCAGGAGAAATGGCGGGGCCACAGGTGTCCAAGCGTGTCCTGCAGAGGAGGCAGAGGGAGGCCTGGGAACTGGGATGTTCTGGCAAACAGGCAAGGGGCTGGCTGTGGGTCAGAGAGAAGAATGTGGCTTTGGGCCACACCTGCCAGTGTTTTGAATCCTTGCTCCTCCTATGCCCTTGGGCAAGATGTCATAGCTCTGCGATAGAGACAAGCTGTCCTCGCATCCACCAACACCTATTTATGTGCCAGGCTCTGTCCTAGTCCAGCTCCTATGCCAGTGGGGTAGACGGTAAGAAAGTGCATCCTGGGCGGGCACGGGAAGCAGCGCTGCGGGGAGAGTGGCAGTTTGAGGCCAGGTCGCCAGAGAAAGCTTCCCTGAGAAGCTGGCCTTGGGGTGAGGCCAGAAGCACGTGAGGGAGGGCCAGGCAGGGGCAGAGCAGGTGCAGAGGCCCCGCAGCAGACGGGCGTGTCTGCAGAGCACCAGGAAGAGATTCTCGGCCTCCCAAGGCAGTCGCCGGCAGGAGGGTCCAGGCTGTGGCAGGCCCGGGAGGCCGCCGTGTGACAACTTGGCTTTGTGCTCTGGGAGGGGGGAAGCTGCCAGAGTTGGGTCCCTCTGGCTGCCGTGGGGAGACTGGGTGGGAGCAGGCCCGCCACTTAGGAGGCTGGAATGATCCAGTCCAGAGCAGTGACATTGAAGGTGGTCAGAACTGGAACATTTGTTTTCTATTTAAACTTATTTAGCAAGCACTCTGTGTCACTTCTGTGGACCAGCAGTGTTCTAAGTGCTTTGCAAATATCAACTCACTTACTCTTCCTAACAGTGCTGATGAGGTAGGTGACATCTCCATTTACAGGCTTGGAAGTGGAGGGACAGAGCCAGCAGGACGTGTGACAGCCTGGAGGAAATGTGAGAGAGGAACCAGGGAGAGCATCGAGGTTTCTAGGGCAGCAGCTGTGGGGTGGGTAGAACAAGCTGAGGGCCCATGGGGGCACTTCCTGGTAGGGGTGCGGAACGGGGAGCTGGATGGGCAGGGGGTCCCCACTTGAAGTGAATTCGGGCATCAATGCCTAGAGACGCTCAAACTCAAGACGTTCCCAAGGGGAAGGGGACAGAGGAGGAACAGCAGGGGCCAGAGGGGACCAGTAGGAAGGAGAGCGACTGAGTGCTGCCAGTGGGCGGCTCAGGGACAACCAAGACTTGCCCGTTGCCCGGAGGGTCTGTGATTGAAGGAAGCAGTGTTGGCTGTTGGTTTCCTCCCTCTCCTCCCCCAGAGGGTAGAGGGGAGACCCCCAGGCAGGGAAGGAGGGGCTTTCCTGGGGGGTGGAGACCTGCCTCCCGTGGATGAGCCCGCGTGGTCGGGGCCTCGTCTCCCCCTCCCAGGGTGAGCCTGGTGGCCTCCGGCAGGGTGAGCGGAAGAGCAGGTGGGCATCAGTCTGCACGGGCGCCAGATGCCGGGCTTCGAACAGCGCCTCTGAGACTCCACTCCACCGTCTGGGAACCGCCAGGTCTCCACTCGCTGGCCACGCTGGCACCGAGGGCTGAGCGGGGCCTGTCCGCATGCTGTAATTTGGAGTAGTTTTCTCCTTTTTTTATATACTGCAGTGCTTTTCTCCAATTACAAATATTTTTCTTATTATAAAAGTGACAAATGTTGACCATAAAAAGAAGAAAAAACGTACGCAAAACAGAGCAAATTAGGAAGCTCCCATCCGACTTTTGGCGGTGCCCAGGCCTGTCACAGCTGCAGCAGGGGCTCTGCACACAGAAGAGCGCTGAGGGGAGGCAGTCAACGGGCAGGAAGC